GGGAAAGAGAAAAAAGATAACTTTTCCAGAATATTTTAAATAAGATAACTGGATTTTGCATGAACAATTATACTTGGAGAACAAAATGTTCGAATGAGAAGCGAACCTCAAATTGTTCAAAACTTTGATACATTCCTTCATGAAGTTTAGCCCTCATGGTCCCAAAATCCATTGGCTCTCTAATGATTTCATAGTAGTCTTCAACCTTATAAAAGAGAAGAAACTCCACGAATGAGTAATTAATGAGATAAGGCTCATAAAGCGTCCAGATATAATACCAAGAAACCAGCGGCAAAAGTACACACCTCCTCTGGATCTACCGGTTCCGCAAATATTTCATGGCTATCTCTCCTGAAATTTAAAAGATTTATACAACAAAATAAGCAAGATGTTTTCTAATTGGGAATAGAACTAAAAGCTCCTTTGCCTTATGAATCGAAGAGTGTTTTTTACGCATAATTCCAAGTTCAAACGACGTAAGAGCTTCAGTCATGACCCTGAAGATGCTAAATAAAAATTATAAGCAAAAAATGCCCACCTCTGTAATATATCAAGGATGAGCTCAAGTATGCGTTTTTCCGGAAGCCATGGCTTGGATTGCGGGGCGGACCATAAGTCTACCACAAGCAACAACTATGTTAAACAAACATTTCAAATAAAATACTATGAACTATGAATTAACAGACCAAGATTAGATTCTTGTTCTTAGATAGGTAAAAAGTGACGCTGAAATAATTAAACAACAATCTGACTTTCACCTCCTGTAGAACAAACAGTGTAATTTCAGTAAAGAAAAAACAAGGCCAACCAAAGAGGGTACCTTGTTTTTCATGCTTTGTGCTGTCTTTTTCCTGCACAATCCGTTGATCTGACAATAAACAAATAACAACTTATGACCACACGCGGAAAAATCGCGAAAGGCTTGAAACAGACAAACCCCAGGCGAAAATGCTAAGTCTAACCACTATTAGCTTGATGATCTTCATGTCTGGATCTTCCACTACCCTGCATTCCATTTTAAAGTGGTCATGAAACTAAACTCATATAACAGAATGTTGGGATTGCATACTAAATATGATCCATAAAAATTCTTAACAAGGAGCAAAGAAACCATACAAAATTGCTTTACCTTGCAAGCCATGTGTGACTTGTGAAACAAATGGAAAACTAACAATTCAAAATAACCAAATTTTTCGTACCCTACGCAATTTTTAACCGTCAAATTTTCATCAAGTATTTTTCATACCCTACATAGAATTGACCTAAAAACGATTAATGTAGTAAACATTACCAATAAAACCTTTTAAAAGGGAGAAAAAAGGCACTTAAAAATCAGCCCATAGAAAGTCATGCAGAAGTAAACAACATGACTACATAACAGTATAACGCACTAAACTAAACAAAGATAAAAAAACCAAGTTACATTTGCGCACATAAAACAAAACCCATTAATGCACACACACACACACACACATACATATATATACCATGATAATTTCAAACATAAAAAAAAAAAAAAAGAAAAAAAATTGGACCTTCTTAAGTGGAGGTGAAGCAGAGGCTACTTCTTGAAGAGGCCTGATTTTTCTCTTTTTTCTGGACCTTGTGCGAGAGGCTGGTCCCTCAGCATTTTGATTACCAAATTCACACTCCATTTTCAGTGAGAAAATAGTAGTGCTAAACCACGTGAGAGGCACGCGCCTAGGCGGGTGGGCCTTCCATGCATCCAAAGGCACCACGGATTACTCTTCTTCCTTCTTCTTCTTCTTCTTCTTTGACTTTTCTAATTTTTTTTTTTTTGTTTATTCAAAGTGTGTAAAATGCATAAAAACAAACAATCACAAAAACCCACATTCCATTTTATTGAGGAGAAGAAAGAAAGAAAGCCCAATTTACTTTAGTGCCCACATTCTCTTCAACACCAAAAAACCCACCTGGCCATTGATGCAGATTGGAAGAAACAATGTGCTAGTTTCTCTCTTAGCTTTTCAAAAAGAAGAAGGAAAAAAAAAAAAAAAAAGCAGGTCAGAACGCAGAAAGCTTGAAAAATATTTGGTGCGGATGAAATGTGGGGTTTGGTTTGAGGAAGTGAAGTGATTTTTTAAGCTTCTATTTTGAAAAGGAAAAAGTGATTTTTTTATTTATTTTAAGGACTGAATATTGCAAGAAATGCAGAGAACCCAAAGACAATTATTATTATTACATGGTGTCTATTCGTGCTATAATTTAAATCATAGCTCGTGGTTTATTATAATATTTTTTTATAAAAAAATACACATAAATTAATAATGATTCTAAATTTATGAGCTAAACGTCCACAATGAGATTAAAAATCCTAAAAGAAGAAAAGGGAATTAAATCCTATAATTTGTTGCTCTGATTTGGTTGCTAATGTTTATATGACATGATTTTAGCTAGCTAATAATGCTTATTAAGTATAATATAAACAAGAGATGGGAAAAGAAAGAAAAAAAGGATAACAATAATAATGATATTTTAATGGGTGGGATTTGGGAGAGCTTGGAATGCAATGAATTATGGAATTGGAGGGACCATATTAAGAAAAAGGATTTTGTATTAAGAAAGGAGGTTACAAGTTTTGACAATAATGTTTTTATCTGTTTACTGTTTCAGAGACTCCAAAAAAAAGTGAATAGTGAAAAGAGTGAGGAACAACGGAAAATGGAAGGAAAAAGCGTCTTTGCACTTTCCAAGTAGCAACCAATTATCTGTCCTGCTCTTTCCTTTTCCACTCTTACTTTTATTTTCTTGGCTGGCCTGGCCCTGCTCAGAAATTGCTGGACCAATTTAGGCCCAATGAATCAATGACAAGTTTTGGAATACACTTTGGGAAGAGAAAATTTGGGAATCTACCCTCTTTTATGTTCCGTGGTGTTCTAGTAGAATTATATTGGTCAAGCTCATAAGAAATGTCTTTGAGTCCGGCAGTCAAATCAGTCCAGTTTTCATATTAGCGTGTAACACTCGACTATAACATTTCAAAAATACAATTCAATATATATAATATTGAGTATTACACCTAAATAATAAATTGATTGTTACACACATATAAATAATATTACACGGGAATAAAAAAGTTACATTTATCAGATTATATAATTGTCAGATGTAAGATGAGAAAAAGTGAGGATAAAAATCTTAACATGTTTTAAAAAAGGTAAATCTTTAGGTGTGTTTAGAATTAGTTCTAAAATGATTCTGTTTTTTTATATGAAACTGAAAATGAAAATGTTTTTAATCTAGACAAGAATCGTTTCTAAAAATACGTTTTGTAGTTTTATTAAGAGATTGTTTTTAGTATAAAAAAAACTGAAAGTCTATTTAGTTATACAATTTTTATTTTTAATTTAAGAGCACTTCATTAATTCATTTAAACCCACACCTACTTGTCAAAAAAATACATCCACCCAAAACTGAAAATGAAAAATGACTTAAATTTATTTTTTCATTTTTTTTTTCTCTAAACAGGTTTTCCTTTTTAATCTCTGCCTTTTATTTCGGAAAACGTGAAAAATGAAAACGAAATTGATATTATTTCTCTCTTATGAAGGTGCATTCTTTTTAGACTTCCCATTTGAGATTTGGTAGGAAATGAACCGCTTTAAAAATTTTAATGTAGTAAAGAGCCTATTTGCAATAATTTGTAGTAAATGGCTATTTAATCGTAAAAGACTGATTTTGAAAGCACGGTCCTTAATGATTTTTCTTTATTGCTCTGTCCTCTTTCTTTCTCATAGATCTAGGGTTTACTTTTTTTTTTTTTTTTCCCTGTCGTTATATCTCTTTCTCCCCCCTATCTCGTCTGCCCTTTCTAAAGGAAGTTAAGACTTCCATCCAATAACCTCGTAGTTAGATGTTGTCGTGAGCGATCTCACCACGAGTGCAAAACGTTGTGCCTTTTTTGTTATGTTGGTCGTGGCGGCAGCTCGAAAGAGTTAGGGTTAGGGTTATTCTAATTTGGGACTTTAGGCTTTTCTTAATTTGGGGGTTTTGAGAAAATTAGTGATTAGAGTTTTTAATTTGAATTTTTTTTTTATCTTGGAATAAATAATGTATTTATTGAGAAATGATTAATAATGCTAATATAATTGGTAAATATTTGCTAAGTAATATATACACCAGGTAAAAAAAATTGTAAATATTAGATAACAATAGTAAATAATGTAATTTCTAAATGAATAAATCGGCAAATATTAGGTAAACATACTAAGTAAATAAATTGGTAAATATCATACTTACTTGGCAAGATATTTTCAAATTTTAGAATTGTGGTAAATTATGAATTTATCAAATTCGTCGAATCTGATAGCACCATCATTTCTTTTATTTACACCCCAGAATTGGCTATTCCCTCGTTCATTCATTTTTTTCCCAATTTTACCGAAGAGAGAATATTAAAAGAATAATATGCAAGGACTATCTAAAAGTTCCTTGGCACCCTTCAAGGCATGGGCTCAGTTTGGTATTGATTCTAGGAGGGAAAAGGCGCTTATAGCTGAAGCTAAAGCTGATAAAACCGTTTGGTAAAAAGCACAAAAATAGATTTTTGAACAATTTGTTAACAATCTGAAGCTAAAAGCAGAATCAGCCTAAGGCTGATTCTGCTTCCAACTTATGCTGGAATCTGATAAGCCATATTAATGAAAGTTTCTTATGCCCAATTTTACCCCCAATGAAATTAAAAAATGACCATCTTGCCAATCACATTTATCAACTCATCTCTCTCTTCTCTCCATTCTCTCTCTTCTCTGTGCTCTCTCTCCGCCGCTCACTTTCTCTTCTCTGGCTCCGTGCTCGGTGCTCCATTCGCCGCTCTCTCTCTCAAGAACTTCTCCCTCTTTTCAAGCGCTTTTCCCTTCCTCAACCTTTCCAGGTAACTTTCTTTCTCTTCTCTCTTTCATTTTTGTTTTTCAGTTGGAATTAAAATTCTTTTGTTGTTGTTTTTGTGTTTGGTTCCCAAGAATCCGTGGGAAAATGATGGTAAACATCGTGGAGAAGCAAAATAATGAAGGTTTTAGTTAGCCTCTGGACTTTTTGCTGTTTTAGGCAAATTCTGATTTCCTTCGGATCCAACTGAATTTGCAAAAATAGGTTAAGACAAAAGGGTAAAGTTATATTTCTCTAATTAGTTTGTGAAATACATATGCTTTATTGCTCTTGCAACATGACGTAGTGCTCTTATAGTTTGAATAGGGTTGTAGGGACAAAAAGGCTAAGACAATCTGGTGGGCTCTGACTTTAGCTATTATTTGGGGTCCTCTGGCTTGAGAGAAATTATAGAGTTTTCGAGGAGAAAGAGGTGCCTTTTGAAGATTGATTCGAGAAAGTAAAATACCTAGCACCTTTGTGGTCTTCAACAAATTCTTACTTTAAAAATTTTCTGCTTTTGCTTATCTTGTTAAGTTAGGATGACATCTTGAATAAGATGGGGCACAAAATCTATTTTCTAGTTTTCTGGTTTTTTTGTCCTTGTTTTGCATTCTGGGTTTAGTTTTTCATTTGTTGTTTTTTGTTTTCTTCTCTTTGTTTCCTTATCAACGGATTTCTCATCCATCCTGAAACTTCTGTATTTTTTACTTGATCAATGAAGTTTCATGTTTCTTATAAAAAAAAAGAGATTGTACATACTCGTGATGTACGGTATAAGATTAAAAATATGGTAATGGTCTCTCGTTATATGCATTTTTCATTGATGCTAATGGTTTTAATTTTTTTTTTTTTTTTTTTTTTTTTTTTTTTTTTTGTAGAAGATGATTTTTAATACAACTGTTTCCTATGTTTCACAGGACATGAGCTTACCGCGTCAAATAGTCCCATCTCTAATCTTCAAATCCTTGAAATCTCCTTGGCAACTATGTTGTTTCAATCTTCGTTCAGAGCCATCTCACTTGATTCATACAGTAACAAAACCAACAGCTCCAAATAATGTTGTCAAAGCCATATGCAATGCGTTCAGAAGCGGATGGACTTGGGACACCCTCTCTAGGGAATTCCATAACATCGAGTTCAATGAACAACTCGTCGAGAAAATACTCTTGGAATTAGAGCAACCTATTGATGCAAAATGGGCTCTAGGCTTCTTCCACTGGGCAGCACAGAGTAAATTTCCAACATTGCCTTCGGTCTTACTGCTTAGCCATTCACATCTTGGTCCGAGCTCGGCTGAACTTGAACGCTAGAGCTTTGATCGAAACGGTTTTGAAGAAAAATGCAGGGGATTCTTCCAAGTTCTTGGTGGTTGATTCACTACTAAGTTGTTACAAGATTACTGATTCAAACCCATTTGTGTTTGATCTGCTTGTGCAGTCTTATTCTAGGTTGAGAATGTTTGACTCTGGTTTTGATGTTTGTTGCTATTTGGAAGAACATGGGTTTTCATTAAATCTGGTGAGTTTCAACACTTTTATACACGTTGTTGAGAAATCTAATGGGAACAATATGGTTTGGAGGATTTATGAGCATATGATTTGGAGGAGAATTTACCCAAGTCAATCGACAATTAGAACATTGATTAGCTCTTTGTGTAAAGAAGGGAAGTTGCAAAAATATGTTGAAATGTTGGATAGGATTCATGGGAGAAGATGCTCTCTTTCTGTGATATGAACACCAGTTTGGTTTTCAAGATTTTTGAGGAAGGTATTGTGTTTTCACTTTTGAAGAGCATCAATTGGAGGACAATGTAGAAGAAGATGAAACTTCACTATCACAAGAAATGATTGAAATACGAGATCAAATTGCGACAAGTTTAATGAACACGACTTAATTCTTTTAATGACTGTCAGTTTTTGAACATGGAATGTACTTTTTTGTTCAATAAATTAATTACTCACTAATGCTCTTTTTAGTTGTAATTATATTGTGAATGAAGAAATGAAAAAAAAAAAAGAATTAATTATCATAAATTTATTATTAAAAAATTCAAAATCACATTATGTTTTTTTTTTTAAGTTAAATAAATATTTCTAAATACCAAAACAATTATATATATTTAAGTTTCATACAATGTCTATTTTTCTTTTAATGACTGTCAGTTTTTGAACATGGAATGTACTTTTTTGTTCAATAAATTAATTACTCACTAATGCTCTTTTTAGTTGTAATTATATTGTGAATGAAGAAATGAAAAAAAAAAAAGAATTAATTATCATAAATTTATTATTAAAAAATTCAAAATCACATTATGTTTTTTTTTTTTAAGTTAAATAAATATTTCTAAATACCAAAACAATTATATATATTTAAGTTTCATACAATGTCTATTTTAGGCCCCGTTCACTTCGCTAATTCGAGTTTAGAATTTGAGTTTTTCTACAGTAAAAAGCTCTCACAAACAATCACATCTAACTTTTTTGCTACAGTAAAAAGCTCTCACATAAAGTCACATCTCAACTCGAATTCTAAACTCGAATCAGTGAAGTGAACGGGCATTTTAAATACCCACATCAATTCAACATCAAAATTTACCAAACGCTATTACACTGATTTTAGAACCAGCACATCTATTATAATTACAGTTTACCAAACACTCAGCTATTTTTTCTTTCAACACAGCTAAAAGTAATTTTTCTAAAATCTACAGCACTACCAAACTAAGCCATAGTAAACTTAAAGTAAACATTGATGCAAAGTTAAAGACTGTAGCAATTTCATTGGTGTTAGAGTGGTGATTAGAGATGTATATGGGATCGTTCTAGGTGTTGTTGGAAATATATTAAAATGTAAATTCTTGCCTCATGTGGCCGAATCTCTAGTTGTTCGTGAAGGATGTTGTTCACTCAGAGTTATTACTACCACGATTGTATTGTTAAGATCGATGTAAATGTGTTATAAGCAATTCATCATTCGACTCATCGAGTTCTAAAAGTTAATGTCATTGATAACACTCGTGAAGTTTCTCTGCAAGTTTAAAATGACAAATGTTTTTTACATATCCCGATTTTGATGGCTCATGTCTATGGCAATTAAACTTTTAATTTAAAGTTTTACATATGCCTAAGTCGTTGGAATGACAAGGTCAACTATCTAGTGGATTCCCACCACTCCTTCTAGAATTCAAGGACTAAGATATCATGATCTTTAATTTAGGGATTCAAGTTACAAAACAATAGAAGTCGAGGGACATTTATTTATGCATACTATCTTGTGGGGTGATTTTATAATTTCCCAAACAGTAAAAAATAAGGAGCTGAAGGGATGGAATCTAATAAAACTTAATAATGAAGAATACAAAATGATCATTCTATTGCAAAGGCATCCTATTGGTAATATACAATATTGACTATTAGATAGGATAAAAATCACATCAAAATAAAAATATATACAGATAACAACTTTTTATATAAATGTAACAGTTAGGTGGTTATTTTGCCAAATGCTATGTAAAAATCTCTCAAATGAAACAAAAACTTTAGTAATAAAATAGGAAAAAAAACTCTCTTAAAAATAGAGATTTTTTGGTAAACATTTGAAAAAATAAGAATGTGTTTGGTTTAAGAATTCATATAATAATTAAAATTACAATTTATGATTCATTATAATATATTTTTTTAAAAAAATACATATAAATTAAAAATAATTTTAAATAATAATTTTAAATTTATCAACCAAACATATTTTCTAAACTACCATGTGATTTCACCCTACCACCAGGAGATAAACCCTCGAGAAAGGGAAAAGAAAAAAAAAAAAAAAAAAAAAGAGTGAGAACTTTAATTAAGCACGCGCTATAAGGAGCGTGGAGTCAAGTCGGGATTGATTCCGTTTCGGAGCTTGAAGATAGTTTTGGGTTTGGTAACTCCGCATTTTTTTCTCAAAAATTTTATTTTGTAGAGAGAGAGAAAGAGAGTGAGAGAGAGAGGGTAATAACTGGAAAGAAAGAAAGAAACAAATTACAATCAAAAATCAAAATCCCAGATCTTTTCTTCGCGTTTCTGATGTTGGAATTGAGTCTCCGAGTTCCAACTTCCGAGTTTTTTCCGAGTCGTGGTTAGTGTGCAGACGATAACGAAGACCAAAGAAGACTTTTTGAAATTAAAAAAAAATTCAATAATGATGCCTACAAATACAATCTTTCGCCTCTTAGAAGCTCCTACTACCAAATGATCGCATCGGATTCGCCTTTTCCAGCTCTTATCTGGTAAAATACTCGTAGCCCATCATTTTGTTTTTCCTTTTTTCTTCTTTCTAAGCTTTGCTTGCTGTGTTTCCTTTCTGGGTTTTTTTTCCCAATAATTAGTTTTAGTTTTAGTTTTTGGAATAGTTAGTTTTTGTTTTGTTTATGGAAATGAAAAGAAATATTGAGCAAATGGGAATGAAATGGCATTAGATGTGTTGATAACGTTGTGTTAACAATGAAGATTTCTTTGGTGTTAGATATTAGTTTTTCTCATTTGTTGGGAAAAAATTGTGCGCCGGGGGGGGAGGGGTTGTTGAATATGATTAAGAATGATTAACATATCGGGTGTTGTTTGGTAATTTAACACAAGATTGGAATGTGCCGCTACTAATGGAGCGCAAATAGTATCTTTAATATTTTTTTCTAAAGGAGATTTACTAGTTGAGATTTCGCAGTGATCGTATGAAGTAATGTACTTAATTCATGATATTGTCTTCTGTTTTTGATTGATTATTCCCGCTATTTGGATGCCTTTGCATTCGCTTATGCTTTTAAATGGCAGAAGAAGAGAAGTAAGAGCTGTAGCCTTTTGGTTAGTGTTGGAGCTATATTTTTGAAAGAGCTTAATAAGACAAGAATGATATTCGTATTTTGTGATAACAATAATAATGTTATAATGAAGGTAGGCTTTCTTGAAACTCCGTTATAAGTTTCAAAGTCTTCTTGAAAAAGCTTTTTGTATGCTCTTATTGGAAAGTCATCCGAACACTCTAGCCAAAAGCAGCTTCCAGAAAGCAATGCCGATCAGGTTTTAAAGCATCATTTAATAAAGCTCCATCTATATCATCTGTGCATAACTGCATATCATAACCTCAGCTCCTTTACGTAGTACGTTCATTAGATGCGGTTGGGATAACAAGTAAACTATTGAGGGTTGAATGATGACCTTTTGTTTTGTGGACATTGTTTGTTTCTCTTATGCATTCATCTCTCTGCTAATTGTTCTCTTGGGGGTGTCATTGTTTTTATTGTTTACAAAAAAAGATGCTGACAATTGAAGTTCCATACCTCCATCTCTGTTGAAGTCCTCTACATCCTTATTGCGAACCCAACAACATGCTTAAATTGGTTCCTTACAAATAAGTATAAGGGAAATAATATAACTGATGTTTTTGATACAGTTTTACTGGAAGAGATAATCTGATAAAGGTTATTTCCATTTCAATTTCTTGAAGTTGAACATAAAGGCAGTTGTTTATTGGTATAAATTTGCCAGTTTCTTTGATAAATGAGAAGTCTCTGAAATGAAAATAACCATTAACACAGAGGATTTCAATCTGATTCCTTTAGTTGATGTGTTTTGTTTTGTTTTGCTTTGTTTTTTTTTTTTCAGTACTTGTAAACCTTATTTACTTTCGTTGCTCAATGTTTCATCTTGTCCCTGTCCAGTCAAAAATCATATTGGAGGCTCATGTTCCCCGACTAAAGCTCAGGTTTTTGCTTGGCTGTTAGGGCTCTTAAGTTTAATACCTTCAGTTGTGTTGCAAAGAAGAAGACCTTTCATGTGTTTAAATCCTTCTTGACTTGTAATGTGAATACACAATATAGAAAGCTAAGCATATTTTGGAAAGTTCCAATAAGTTGTGCAGAATTGTTTGTGGTGCGGTATTTGATTAGTGACATTGATATTTGCTTAATTGTGGGGTTATCCAAAACAAAAGGAAAAGAAAAGAACTAACCATTAACACTAAATGCACTGTCATGTAATTTTCAACTGTTCAATGCACTTCATCTCTTAGTTTATTTAGTTGTTTCCTCTTCTGGCTAATCTTGTAATAGTTTTCACGTGAACTAAATGTTGCATGGAGTTTTCTGGCTCTTCAACCTATCTTGTTTTCTCTCTTCATGTCTTTTCATTCTCATCTTTATTGGTCGCACTTTCATCATTTCTTACCCCTTTTCTTCTCAGGTTTTCATGGATTTGAACTTGCGAAGAATGTCTCGGGAGTTGCCTCGGTACACCGCCCAAAGTAGTGTTGGTGGTAGTTTGGAAGTTGACCAATCCATCCATGCAGTTTGCTCTTTATGCCAAAAGATCCTTTCACCTGATAATGAGACAACTGGTGATCTTGAAAATATTAGCATCTGTGGCGACTGCAAACTTTTGTTCCTTGAAGATCTTGATACCCCATTACGCGAGTCTCGTCGGAGGCCGCCTAGAACCAGGTACAGCAGTAGTGAGTCCACAGAGAATACTTTTTCACAACAATTCTCACATATGATTAATCTGGTGAGGCAAAATCAATCGAATGTCTCTGGACCTGAGGATCCATCAACAGAAGCTGATCCTGCTAGTAGGTTATTCCGGCGCACAAGTACTCGTACTACCCCAAGAGGGTCTAGAAGATGGCGAAGGGTGCCCTCGGACACCGAGAGTGATGGTTTTGATAATGTGGATTCTCTATATGGTGAAAGTGAATCAAATGTCAGTTTTGGTCGGCGCAGGTTGTTCCACGGTGAGAGTGATGCCGTTTCTTTTAGTACTTATGGAGGAGACTCCGATGCTTCTGTAGACTTGCATGGTTTCCTGGATTCCGAGATGTTTAATCAACCAAATGAAGGTAGTGATTATGAAACTGACACGGATATTGATCCAATGCATGCTGGGCTCAACCATTGGAACTTAGATGACCAAGGAGGAGAAGCAGAAGAAGGGGAAGAGGAAGATGGTGAGTGGGAAGAAGGTGATGCTGAGGAAGACGTGATTCAATCTACAGACGCCATAGCTCGTGTGCAAGACTTTCTATTTCGAAGTCAAGGCGGACAAAGGCCTCATTCGCCTGATTTTTTGCCTCGTAGAGCATTCTTTGGTGACTTTGAGGAACCAACTTGGGTGCCTGCTCTTGGGGACCCTTCAGATTATCTTGATGCACGAGGTTTGGAAGACTTCCTTCAGCATCTTGCCGAGGATGACAACTCAAGATGTGGAGCTCCTCCTGCAGCTGTGTCCTTTGTGAATAGTTTACCCCGCATGGTCATTAGTGAGGAACATGAGAAGCATGATGACTTAGCGTGTGCAATTTGCAAGGATGCATTAACCATTGGCACTGAAGTGAATCATCTCCCCTGTGACCACCTTTATCACCCTTTTTGTATCTTGCCATGGTTGAGCTCTCGGAATTCATGCCCCCTTTGTAGATATGAGCTGCCAACTGATGATAAAGACTATGAAGAGGGGAAATGTAACATCAGGGGTAGAGTGGAGATCCGTGGCATCCGTCAAAATGTGACTGAGGACAGTTCCGTTACCTTCTCTGATAGAGAAGATGAAGAGGAGCGTGAATTTAGTGAAGGTAGACTAGACCAGAGAGAGCTGCTAGGTGAAGAGCCAGCAGTTAATAGCTCCGGCAGAGAAAGCGGTAGAGGAAGATGGTTTTTTCTCGCTGCTGCTCCAATTGTCAGTCTTGTGGGCATTGTTCTTGTCTTGTGGATGGGAAATGTGGGAAGGGGACCCTCGAGGCGCACTATCCTGCCTGAACAGAACCGCCAACGACATATCCATATCTCTGGCTCTTCATCTAACTGGAGTGAGAATAGAGGCCGGAGATGGTGGTCGTTGTTCTAAGCAGTTTCTCGAGTAACATGGTAAATACTTTAATTGTTGGTGATGGTTTTCTAGCCTGTCGTTTCAGCCTGAGACACTTACTCTCATTGCTATTTAACTTGGCTACAGATCTTGACATATTGTTGTGTTGTTTGCTCTACTGTTTTTGCACCTTAAAAGTGCGCTAAAATGAGTTGAAGCTTTTAATGGAAAATATTTTCTGAGCTTTCAAAACTATGTCGTGATTTAAATGAGTCTCGAACTCTGGCATTTGATTTTTACTAATGCATCCGTCAATCCCCCACGGTTATTTCTCGAACTTAACATGGAAAAATGATGGTTACTCGGATTATGAGTAGTTTGTTGAGTATGAGTTCTACATGAGCCGTGTTACAGTCAAAATGCAACCTTAAAAACAAAGCGACAGAGTTGCTTGTTCCTTGTAATTAGTTTTAACACTGAATTTCTGATATGGGTGTTTTGTCCCAAGGCAATTTTTAAAAATACCCCTTGAATGGAGCCCCTTTTTATTTTTACCCTTGACAGTAGTTTATACATTTATACCTTTTAGAGTAGAACTAGTTAAGGGGTAGAGTTTTTTAAAAGGGGTACTTTAGTAAGTCAGGTAAAAGGTATAATTTATAATTTTATCTTATCCCAAACATTAGTAGTTGCACAATCGAAAACAAAAGCATGTCAAAGGTTATCGTTTATTAACTTTGTATGCTCTTTTTTCCGCTTGCTTTAAATCCAATATTTCCTATGAAAGATACCAGAGTTTTGGCTTCTCATCAAAATAGATGTAAGAATAACGGGTGATTTCGTGGTTGCAGGCTTTACTTAGTGATATATTGGCTTCTCATCAAAATAGATGTAAGAATAACGGGTGATTTCGTGGTTGCAGGCTTTACTTAGTGATATATTGGCTTCTCATCAAAATAGATGTAAGAATAACGGGTGATTTCGTGGTTGCAGGCTTTACTTAGTGATATATTGGCTTCTCATCATATATATATATATATATATATTAGAAAAACTTAGTGATAATTTTTTATGCGCATCTTTACTTATTTATTTTGAGGAAAAGATTCTTGTTTATTGAATAAGCAAATCGTTCAGTACAAAAGTGGGAGACAAATCTAGGAATAGCAAAACAGCCATCTATCTCAGCATTAGCGTGGAAAGCCGAACAAGCAAACGAATGAGCAACCGAATTGCCCACCCTCGGAACATTACCAGCATTTATAGTTATTTACATTAGAAAGAAGACTCAGGATTGTCTTCGAGTGACTGGCTGGAACCACTTGTAACGCATCCAACTCAACTAGTTGGACTTGGATCGCATTTGAACGCGCAAACAGCAGGCCTAACTAAAAGCAAATTTACATTGGCACTGCTAAATTTTAACCGATATTAGAAACATCAAGACCTTTAATTGTTTTAATGGGAGAGTTGTGCAAGAGAACTATATAGTCAAATATTCCTTTCACTAATTTCATCGGCTCCCACGGTTATCAAGAATATTTTTTTTTTTTTTTTTTTTTTTTTTTTTTTTTTTTTTCCTTTAATGCCATTATTTCTTAGTTGTTGGGCCATTAATTATTGAATGGAATAAGCTAGACAATTCAAATGAATTTATTTTTTTTAAACGTTTAAACATGGACTTAATTAATAAATGACAAATGACAATCATAAATAATGGGATATAGAGAACTCAATCAGAAATAATGGGAACAAAAAAAAAAAAAAATTCTCTATTTTCTCATGGCCCTCTGTAGACATGGCTGCCACATTTTCCCCTCCTGTCGCGCTTTCCCCCACCTCCGGTCGACGACTTCATCGGCAAGAATCAGGAAAACTAGGCTTTCCACTGGAAAAAAATGAATTTCTGTTTTCAATTTCTCCAGTTAGTTAAATTTTACTTTGACATTAGCCTAGTAGCAAAAGGAGGTCAAGGTTTGGCAGATCCTTTTAATTTATAAGAGAATGTTGAGGAAGAGAGTAATCCATCCGGCCATCGAGAATATGGCGAAAATGTGAACCCAGAACAACACTGCAGCTGACTCCCTTCCACAACCTCTTAAATTAGCCACAGCACCTATCATAATAAAACAGTAATCAATTGCAAAGTAAATCCAACATAAAGTATGTTCCTATGGAATGAAAACACGAACTGAAATCCCTGATTTAGGACTGTCCAATAACTTGCTATATGAAGAAGCTTTTGAAGAAAAAATCAGATGCCGTGTGGCGGGTTCAATTTAGTTTTCCAACAAATACTAATCTTCTAGGATTGTAATACAATGCATAAATTTCTTGTTTCCACCTGAAATTTCACCTTATTCACCAATTTAAAAGGTTTTGTATTGGGATAAGAGATACCTAGTAGCAGCATTTATCATCCAAGTTATGATGAGGCAGCTTGTATTCTTTTGAGGATTTTATAATGGCAATTATATAAGATGAGTACGGGCTCTTACCAGACAGGACAGATGTTGGCATTGAATGTTGGAGGAGTAAGACAAATCGGAACATCTTATCTCCAGCGGGAAGGAAGCCAAGCTTATCTGCCAACATTACGATGCCAATTCCTGCAGGAGGCACAAAAACTAACCGTGCAATGACAATAGCAACGGTTGTTCGTGCACCAAGTTTTGAACTTCCTGGTCCTGCAAGCAAGACACGGAAAAATCATGAGGGATACATCTAAAGTTGTCATACTAATAGGGGAGAAAAAATATCAACACAGATAAGAAATTCCTGCAAGCAAAGCATATACGGCAGCACAATGTTTATCAACAAAACGGTGTGGTCACAGTAGCTAAGAGAACCTCTAAGCATGTATAGTGAAATGCGTAGATATTAAACAAAGCGCTTGTTTAGAAGTCGGCTTACCCTCTACAAGGTTGCCACCTAATGCCAGAAGAATGCACGGAATCATTGCCTCCCTGATAACAACCAACAGTTATTAGATTGTATTACACATTTCCAAAAGATGCTACTAATGCTCCAACAATTTAAGCAATTACTTAAAATTTTTCATATATACGTTATAAGATTGTCCCCATGAAGCCAATAATACTTGCTTGGTAAGATTAGAATCAACACTTGCAAAGAAATCCAAAATCAACTGAGTAAGTGCTTGCTTAAGAATGTAATAATCATATAAGCACTTCTCAAACCAGGCATGTAATAAGCGCCCAGATCTTAATAAACTATTAAGTGCATAAATGAACAACAAAATGAACAACTATACCCTCCTTCCCTCATGGTTCATCCATTGTATTTTGGGACATACTCTGGACGAGGGGTAAGATTTTTGTTTTTCATTTGATGTTTAATTGTGAACTTCAAGGTATTATATACATTTCCTCTAGACTAGCAGGGATACTTGAACAGAAAAAATCAGGGCTCAAATATTAAGTGAACATAAGTGAAAAAAACATAAAAATACTACAGTCCAATAAAGCATACCCGAGAATTATACAGCTATCAGTGAAGAAAAATAATGGAGCACCATCTGTAAAGATTAAGTTCTTCAAAAATGGCACTGCCCCAAGAATCATGGCTAGAATCTGACATAAACAAAAGCATACTAATTAGACACAGTGTAGAAATAGATACTTGTAAGTAAAAAACCCGAAACAGTAGCTAAATCAATTAGAAAAAGAGTCGAACCCACTTACAGAAGCTATAATGGGAGGTTGAAGGATTTGTTTGAGTTTCAACTTATCATATAAGAAATTAAGGAAATCTATGATCTGCAAGAATCACAATGATTAATTAAAACCATACTTTATAAAAAAGTAAACCAATAAATAATATCCAAACTGCGACTTTCAGTAAATTTTCTTAATCTTTCATGGTGCTTTAGAGAAACTAAGCAAAACCATGGTGACACAATGGTCCTAAACACAGAAAGCACAAATGTTAGCTATTTAGATTATTAAACAAAGTTACATCTCAAGGCCGCAAAAATAGAAGGCTGCAGTTGCAGTGTAATGTAACTAGGTGACTGTCAATACAAAGTTCGCTATTCAAAGAGATCAATTAACATTGCAAAAGAATGCGAGGCAGTAATTTCTAGAGAACATGAATTAGACTCTTCAATTGGCATCTGATACTGTTCAAAGCCAAATAATAAATGAATGAAGGATTCGATATCATCACCAAATTCTGACCTTGTTTTTTTCAGATGCATATGAATTAGTCTGTACAGCCTCCTCATGTGTAAGCAGTGGAACTTCCTCAGGGGGACTACCATCAGTTGACTGGGATTTTATAGGAAGATATCCATCGTCCAAGTCAAAGGATCCTTCAGGAGGCGGTTCCAACATTTGAAATACATATGTATATAGGATGATTGCACCAACCTAAAAAGCATAGCAAGATTGGTGACATGTAAGACTAATATATTATATCCTGGTGAAGTAAATTTAAAAGGAGGTTATTGCAAAAACAGTGATAGTTGGAGCACAACATAATTCTCAATTGGGATAACTGTCAATGAGTTCTAGTTATTTCGGTTCGAAATGTTATAAACTCACTCACCCACTGTCCAAATGAAATATATGCAGTTCCGTCTATGCTACATGTGTCACCAAAAGGGTTGTTTTTGTCTCTACATAAAGCTGCAATTAAAACAAGCGGTACATTTCCGATGTTCCCTGCATTGAATATAATAAGATAATCCGAAATGAGCGTACACATGAGGAGCGCAAAGCCAAAGTAGCTAGGGTGCAGTTCTTTAAGAAATTTACTAGGGGTGGCAATTCGTGTCACGTATCGTGTTCGTGTCGTGTTTAGATCGTTTCTTTTTAAATTTGCAGTCAAACCGAACACGGCCCGTGACATGAAATTTTTTAAAAACCGTAACACGAACACGACACAACCACTTAACAGGTTGACACGACACAACACGAAAATAACCCGTGACACGAAATTAACCCGTGAACCTAAAATTGACATGAAAATTATATACTTTTATTTAGTTTTTTAATTATTAGAAATAACTTAAAATTCATAACACACTAAAATATAATAACATCCATTGAAATTAAGCAAATAATAATAGAAAATTTTGAGTATAACTATTATGATATCACAAGTTCATAATAAAATCAAAAATATGTAATGAAAAATATATGCATTTTTTAGTTTTTTACGAGTTTCGTGTCATGTTCGGGTTAGGCGGGTCCAACTCGAAATTGACTCGTATTTTTCGTGTCAATTTCAGGTCGACTTGATTCTGACCCAAACATCTTTTTTCTCAACCCTAACCCGCGAAATTCGTGTCGTTTTCGAGTCGTACTGTCATGTCGTGACTTATATTGCCGGCCCTAAAATTTACTGATAGAACTTCAAGCAATGGTGGATCATTCAGCTTTGTACAATCTAACTGAAGAGATGAAAACTTTAAAACAAAAAGTGAAACTTGTACCATGATGGTAAGCATCTTACCAATTCCAATTTGCACAATTGTAAACTTAAAGAAGGGGTATGGTGGCCGAACAAGGCTGGCTACAATGAAACCTATTATTGAACCTGATATGGAACCCAGAACAACATTCGCGGGTATAAACCACCTGCAGAAAGTAAATGCTAATAAGTATGCATCACTATTATTTATTTATTTATTTATTTTTGTGATATCCAAGAATCCCCCAAACTCACTTTGTGAGCCCGAGTTAGAAACATTCACATATTCTATTTTATAGACTACAGCAATAAAAATAAGAAGTTAGTTCTTACCACTCCTTCATTTTCTCAAGAGTGATGGCTTGTCCAAGTTGAGAAAATATCAAACAGGGAAGCAGAAGTGAAAACACCAACTGCAAGACGGTTCGAAAATCAATTACTATTCAAAGAATCAAAATCCAACCACTTCACAACCGCGAAAAATTCGTGGCACTGTCTTATGGCTCGGAGAATTTTATGGTAGTGTCAAAAAAATACCCTACCAGCGGGTCATAGTTTTAAACTGTTAGATCATGTCAGAACTACAATGAAATCTGACAATTCAGAATCTGGTATAAATTCTCCTTACCTTATGGCTGCTGCATTCTGTTTATAAAACTACAGGCTTCATAATTCATTAAGACTGCTTAAAGTTTCTGTCAAACTAACATAATGCCCGTCTATATTCTCTAAATTCCAACTCTGTTCAAGAACTAGAAGCATCATATAAGAAAAGGGATACTTACCCCATTTAACAGCTTCCTCCCATTGGCAGGCAAAATGTTGACATACTTGGATGCCATAAGAAATCCCAAGAAGCATACTGTGAGGACTTTAGCAATTGGTGAAACCGCAATCTTGATTGAATCGGCCAACGATTCCCCGCCCACTTGAGTGGACGCCATCGCAGATAGAATCCTTTCCACAGTCATCTTCCCCCAAATTCCTCACAAATTCAAACCCACCAAAACAATGCGGCTTCTAAAACGACGCTGTTCTGTACACTACTATTTCAATGCTTCCCTATTCCAATAGAAAAAAAAAGAAGAAAAAAAAATCACAATTCAATTGAAAGCAAACAATTACAATTACAGCAAAAAGATCAAAATTTTTTTCCCAAAAATCAGCAGATTAATAAAAAGACCATTATAATCATAATCTGTCAAATCAAAACATGATGCAAATCCTACGTTCATTGCAGAGAAAGATAAGCAAACCTCAGAGCCTAATTGCGACCTATTTCAACAAATCTTAAAGCTTATTCAAAGAAAACAATACGCAAAAAGTACGCGAAATCTTATAAATGAGATCAAGAGCATAAAAAATTTAAATAATATAAAATAAACAATTAAAAAACTGGGTTCTGGGAACAGAATTGTACCCGAAATTCAGAAAAAAGAAGTAAATCAATGAACAAACAGAGGAACAAATCTATGAACGAACAGAGAAGAACAAAAAAAAAGAGTAAATAAATAAATAAAAACGTACAGAATGAAATATTATTATTTTTATTACTTAGGAAAAGGAGAAACGAGTAATGATTCGTGTCGCTTTACCACTCGACAGTAAGAGAGAGAGCTGAAAAAGAAAAAAAACACAGAAAGTCGAACCCAGAAGTCGGAATTCCGAAAACTCTGGAACCCAAAAACAGAATTAAGAAAAGAAGAAGAAAATAAAATCCGAGACTAATTTGAGTCTTCGGTGACTGGAAGATAGCTGAGTTTGTTGTTTATGAATTAATTTGCTTGTTCTCTTCTTACCTCTTCTTCTTCCGTTAACTTCCAGTTTGTTCCCAGTTCCACAAATATATTTTTCTTTTGCTCCAATTTTTTATACTTTTTTTCTTTTTTGCACCTGAGAATGAGATTCGCTTGAAACCGTTCAGTTGTTTCTAGGCATGCATATATTATTTAGACATTAACCCTCTGTTTTGGTTATAATAACGGGTTTGCCACGGACCGGAATGTGGAAAGCCGGTACCAACGAAATTTCCCTCGTGATTTCCTACTTGTATCTGGACCGTTTTTAAGATATGTCTTTTCCACTTTGAGAAAATTCAAAGAGCATCCCGCAGTTTTGTTTAAACACAACTGTTATTTTTGAGATTTTTAAAATTTAAAAGTATTTAATGTGTTTTGGTTTAATTTTTTTTTTTAAAATGGCTAAATTATGTTTAGATATTTGAAATACTGTTTAAATTTATGTTGAGCTGTACTAATTTTTAAATACCCCTCTTAATTTTTTTTTGAAGTAAACGTCTGAGAAATTTTACAACACCAATTTAAATAAGTTTTTTTTTTGTTTCTTTTTTTTATTTTAATAAGAAAGTGAAATCTTTTTTGTAAAAAGATGTAATTTTTTTTTTTGAAATTCTATTTGGCAAAACATGATGAATTTATTTATCAATTTGAGGTGAAAATATAATTTTAGTGCATAATAAACCAACTTGTTAAAATTGCCTTAATACTATTACGTGACAAAAAATATAAATCTTTTTTTTAAGAATTCACTTTCTTAATAAAATGGAAAAAAAATTGTTTAAATTGGTGCTGTAACTTTCTTAAGGGAGACACTTCAAAAAAAAAAAAATTTAAGAGTGGTGTTTGGAAGCTAGTACAGATCAAATTTGAATAGTATATAAGATATTCAAGAATAATTTGGCTATTTTCAAAAAATTAAACCATAAAAGTTAAAAGAATTGATACTTTTTGTCTATTTTCAAAAACACCGAGAATGGTTTTTGAATTTTAAGAAACTCATGGGTAAAAGTTGTATTTAGGCAAAAATTGAAGGGATACTTTTTAGATTTTTCTCCCTTTTACATTTAAAAGAGTTTATTATTTATTGAATAAATAGAGATTTATTTATACAACTATTTAAAAATTTATTTTAAAAGATAATATGTGTAAAGATAATAATTGATAAAAAAATTAAATAGGAATACATTTAAAAAAATTATTTTAACCAACCAAAAATAAATTAAGAACACATGCGAAAAATTACTCTTATAAAAGTAGAGTAAAGAATAATATATTTTTGAAAAATAAAAACAAAATTAAAATGTAAAAAAATTGAAAAAAATAAAGATAAAAAGTTAAAAAAGAAATAAAGTAAGTGAAGGGGTTGTATCGTGAGAGTTCTATAGAAAAGAACTTTGGTTCTTTTATGTATTGTTAGATTAATTACTGTTTTTTTTTCTTTAAAGATATATGCATGTATTTTTCCTTTTCTTTTTTCTTTTCCGAACTTCCTTAACTTATTTTCTTTTTTTTTTTTTGTTTCATGAGTAATGCCATATAACACTGATGATTAATATAATCAAACATTTTAAACCAAAACCTCCATCAAAAAAATTATGCATCACACTTTATTATGGTATGAAATAAACTCACATAATTTTCTAAAACTTCTAATCAATTGAGAAAAATGATGACCGTGGTCGTACACATAGTCTAACAATAATTTTAGACGGGCATTACAAATAACAATTTCTTTTCCTTTTTTTTAGTATAGGGTAATTTATGTCGGGACTTAAGTTTTCAACACTTTTATATATAATTGTAGTAGTTTTATGTTGCAGAGTAATAATTGTTTTTTAAATTTGTGGTTGGGAGATTTGAACTCTGCACCTTTTAATGCAGTCATGTATAAAATTATCACTAAATTATATATAATGACTTAGCACTGTAAATTTTTAAGGTTAAAACTCATAGATCACGTTGTTAAAATCTTTATCTAACTGTTAAAATAATAATTCTTAACTTCTCATTGATGGTTGAAAAAAAAAGACATCCTTCAAGTTCCATTCAATTTAAACTTAGGATTAATTTTACAAATGATTTTTAAAGTTTATCTTCAATTCTACTTTGATCTCTGACATTTAAAATATCTCATAGTTAGTATATGAGGTTTTATTTATTTTAGTTTTGGTCATTCTATTATTTAGATGTTAAATTTTTGACGAAATATGTAAAAATTAGAGATCAAAATTGAAATCATTTAAGTTTAGGGACTAAAATAATTCAAAAAAATGATTTTATCATTTTAAATGTATATAGTTTTGGTCCATAATTTTAAATAGTCTCTAAATTTTAGAGGTATATAGTTTTGGTCTATAATTTATACTAATTTTATCAAACATTTAATATTTAATTAGTAAAAAGACTGAAATTAAAATAGAATAAAATTTCATAAATTAAATACGAGACAATTTAAAATCATAGACTAAAATAAAATTAAGGATAAACCTTCTAAGACCGTTAGTTTGATTAACCCGTAAACTTTTTATTCTTTTTATTTTTTATTTGTTGCTTTTACTATCACTGTCTTGGGGACCAATCATCTTGTGGGCTCACCTTTTTTTTCTTTTTTAGTAGTAAGAGGCTCACCGGTTACTCGTAGTCAATTTCGTCTTTTTCTCTTTTAAGATTTTAAAATCTTTAGTTTACTTATTGCTTGCTAATTAAGAAAATGGGCAGGTGATGTCATAGCAATGGCACGTTAATATCACAAAAATAATTTTGCATTTGCAAATTGAATGCTGTCTAATGGTAGGTATAACTTCTTATGTGTTCTAATTTTCTCGCTCTTTGTAATATATAAAAAAAAATTTCTCTGATAAGATTAAACAAATAAATTATCAATAGTTTTTTTTATTTTTCAACTATTAAATCTGTATCAAAATCTATTTATTTTACATATTTTTTAATTTAAAATGATTTTAATAGAATCTAACAGTAAAAAATTAACACTCTATTAGACAAAGTCCATATAAAAAGTACAAGTGATTTTTTCTCAATCCATTTCATAAGAAGATTTTTTATCAATCTTGTGGATTAATAAAATTAGAGATTTATTTAAGCTATACACGTTATTTTAAAACATTTGAATATCTCTTAAAAGAATTACTGCATCGTTTCTGTTTAGAGTTTGCATGAACTTTTATTACACTGATTTAAATTTTCAATTATAAGTTTCTACAGTTAAAATCTCTCAGAAAATGTCACATCTAACTTTTTCTGCTACAGTTAAAAACTCTTAGAAAATGTTACATCTCAACTCGAATTGAAAATTTGAATCCCTGAACCGAACGAGACATTAGTTACTTCAAGTATATATATAATTAATAAATTATTTCCCAGCGTTTTTACTTTATTTCTATAACCGGAAAAAATATTCTTCTCCACACTCCAAGAGAATAATTTCTAATTAAGGTAGTTTTTAATTTAAAAACAGAAATACAAAGGATGTGTTTATAACTCGTTTTAAAATGATTTTGTTTTTTATATGAAAATGAAAATGAAAACGTTTTCAATCTCAAACGAAAATTATTTTTGAAAATGCTTTTAGTAGTTTTATCAATGGATTGTTTTCAATATAAAAAAATCCATTAATGTCTCTTTTTTTGCTTGAGAGATGAGAAAACATAAATAAAAAATAAAAAATGACTAAAAGTCGTTTTTCATTTCTCTCATATTTTATACTAAATTAATAACTCCAAACACAACTAAAGCTTGATTGAGTCAAATCATATGAACAATAAAGATAATACAAACCCTAACAAAGCGTGGAAAAATAATCTGCTGGTTCTATACTTTGAATTGTCTATTAATTTTTCTCAATTTCATTTAATTATAATATTTATATTTTAAATTAATTTCTAAAATAATCAACTGATTAAAACTGTGACGTCAAACCAAAATTCTCCTATAAAAAATGAACTTCAGGTCGGTTGGAAAAGGCTTTTGATAGATAGAGCTCTGTCGACCATTTTCTTCTTCTTCTCTTTCTCTTGGCTTCATTTTGTTGCTTTAAATAAATAAATAAGAAAAATTGATGGTTCCCGTGGTCGGTGGGCCATGCTAGCTATAATATATTCATCATTCTTTTGTCTTTACTGTGGATTTGACCATTTGATTTGATTTTATTTTTTTGAATGATGTTTGACAATTTAATTGGTTAATTACTATCAACAATTTAACCTGCTTACCTAACGTCATTTGAGCTCAATAATTGTTCAAAGTTATATTTGAACCACATGAGAATCATGTTACGTGTATGTACTTGTTTTCGAATTTAAATGAGTACATATATATAATATGCTATATATAGATATATATATATATATACACGTAAGTATTTAAAAACGAAACGTACGAGTACAATTGGATTTACGCCCCAGTTTGGTTTGTTGGTTCAATTTTTATTGATTTAAACTTTTTTGTTTAAATAAAAAAATTTAAACTGTGCGATTTAAATTATAATTTGAATTGACGTTTGGATGTGCAATTAAAATTTTAATCTGAACATGAAATAAAATTTAAATTTGTGTTTGGAAGGTGTGAGAAGCAGAGATAGTGCACATATTTTTACTGTTTAAAAATGATTTGAACGGAGAGCTAAACTCTAATGACCCGTTCATTTCACCGATTCAAGTTTAAAATTTGAGTTTTGTTACAGTAAAAAGCTCTAAGAAAGAGTCACATCTAACTTTTTTACTACAATAAAAAGCTCTCACATAAAGTCACATCTCAACTCGAATTAAAAAATCGAATAAAACTCGAATCAGTGAACTAAACGGGCTCTAAGTTGGACAGTTTGACTTAATTCAAATAGAAAATATAATTCAAATATATAAATTTCAACTGTGCTCACTGTTTCAAATACTAGTCTGATACATATTATATAAAAAATATAGATTTAGAGTACCTTTTTAGATTTTGTTGTTTTAAACCATGTCTAACTAATTTT